CACACAGAAAAGATGACAGGAAATAGTAAATGCCTCATTTCTTTCCAAATGCTGAAGTTACAGAGAAGACTTGTTTTCTTCTGTCATTTCTTTCCTAGGAGAATTTGACATTGTCAAATTTTAAAGATGGGTTCCTTTCCTCATTATAAGCAGTTTTTATCCATTGCATTGGATAAACAAACCTATTTTAACTTTACATATTGATTCAGATTCTGTTTTTATCATTTATCATGAATTTTATCTAAAATTCATCCCCTTTTAATCTGAGTGGAGACTATCTCCATTCTCAAAGTGGGATGTCCCAATGTGACTGATTCTGTGTCTGAATCCCACAGTTCTGTTCCCTGCATTCCACAGTTAACTTTTTGAATGGAAAAACTTTCATCATATTGTTGTAATGTCAGAACCCCAAAACTGTGATTTTCACCCTCAATCAAATGTTGTATCAAAATTGTGTATGATTCAAAATGTTGTATCATACACAATCAAGTCATTTCAAATCCTCCTGGTGAACTGAATTTGAAATGTTGCTGGGTGGTTGGATGAACTTTGTACAGAAAGGAAGTCAACTGAGTTACCAATGCGAATGTTGCAGGATTTGATTTGTTTGCAAACTATGAGAGAATAACACATGGTATACTTATGATATAGTTAAGTCTACGAGGGTGTTATTTTGACAGTGTTTGTTGTGGGGAAGGATAGACTGGCTCCAGAACTTACTGTTGTATGTCCCTGGATTAGCTTGGCACCCAAGAGACTTATTTGCCTTGGTGGCAGCAGGAACCCTACAGCATTGGGCAACTGCTACAATAGTGGCTGCTGGGTTGGCAGCCACAAAGTGGTCATGTCTGTCACCTGTCCTCGTGTTGGTAGATTGCTGGCTGCTTTCCACTGTCAAATGCCATTTTTCTGTCATCACCTTTGGAAATTGTGGCTCTGTCCTTTTCCAGTTACAGATTCATTACATTAATCTCCAAAAGAGCACTTACTTTCAAATATTGATACTTATTTAACTGCCAGTATGTTGAGAAAGCATACATAAATACATTCTGACATCTACAAACTGTCAAAATTGAGACCTATTAAAAAAGATATTTAGAGGCTTTTAAACATCACATGACATTGGTGAAATTACAGAAACATTTATTTCAAGGGAAAAAAAACCTAACAATTTTACCTAAGCTGAAAGTTAACAGACATTTGTTGTTGCTGGCATTGTGAGGAAAGCACAGTATTGCATAAAGAGTATGAAGGTTTATTTTGAGAATTACGAAAGGCTTCCAGAGGAAGCAGTGAGAAAGGAAAGGCCATAATGGGGGAAGTGGCGAAGAGGAAACCAAGTGAGAGGTCTTCTGAACGTGGGTGGGGTTCCTCATGCACTCTAAGCCTCCGATCCTTTTCAGAGTTTTCTCCTTACAGATGGGCCATCACTAAACCTGACAAAGTAAGTGAGCACTGAAAAATGAAATTGGAACAAGATTACAAATAATGTTACATAATAGGTTTCTGAAACCTGCCCCCCACAGCCAGCCAGGATCTTTTCGTGCACTGTGATTTCCTTGGTCCTTCATTGGTTTCTGACAGAGGTCCTTCTGCACAGAGGTGTTAAGCACTGTGCTGGCCATCAATTCCAAATACCCTGCTGTGGTTCCAGATAACAGCCTCTCCTGAAGTTGGCCTCAGAAGAAAAGTGTAGAGGGTAACCAGCAAACATGCATTTGTTTTACAGATTAATAATTGAGTCCTGGCAATTTATTAAGGCTTTCCTGGTAGAAAGCTGATGAGAGAATTGAATAATTAAAAGATAGATTATAAATTGCTACAATGAGCAATAATGATATATGTGGATTTTTTAATATTTTCAAACTATTGCTGTATAACAAAAGTTTTAAAAGGAGCTTCAAAGTCAAAACCATATGTTTATTTACAAATCATTACTTGTTAAGTCTAAAGATTGCCTTTCCTCTTACATGTTTCTAATTCCATGAGAATAAAGGAATCAGGGCTAGAGAGATGGATGGCCTAGATATTGAGTGTACACTGCTCCTAGAAATGAATGACAGTTAGTAAATTTGAGTTCCTTTTATGTGCCAGGCCTTGGTACAATAGGGATGCAGCAATAGAAGACATGTCCTTTCCATTGTGGAACAGAAAGTTGACAGCCTTCCCTTGATTAATCTCACTCACATGGGTGACTCATGCCTTCAGGATCAATAGAAAACCATCAAAAGCTTTCAGGTACAGAGTACAATGCTGGTGAGGCCTCAGTGAGGGCTAAGAAACTCAAAAGGAACCGAGATGGTAGAGAAGAAAGAAGCTAGAATCAGTGTTCTTGGCAATACTGTCCGTAGCAAAGGAGGCTGAGGCGTGAGGTACCCGGAGTGTTTGTCCTGGAATCCATCTCCTCCATGGAGTGGAAGTTATATAAAGAAAGGGCAGCCCCCTTGAATGATGTTGATATGAAGGAGGGCAGAGGAATAAGAGGGACCATGCTGGGTGGAAAAGGTTACCTCACCGCTCAGCTATCAACAGCCATTTTACAAAGGGGGTGCAAGTGTCAAGTCAGAAGACGCTCAAACTAGGGTTCCAGCCCATTAACTGAGAACAAAGAAGTCTGTATCTACAAAACAGGAGAAATAAGAGTCTGCACACTTTAGCCAATGATACACACCAGAAACCCACCATGAAACGAAAGAAAACCACATAGAATGCTGAGACATGAATTGAATGTTTTTTCTTCAGCCCCTTGGATGTATGAAACAAACAAACAGGAAACTTTTTTGGATTGAAAATACTTAAGCTCAGCATAAGATGAGTAAAAAGAAAAGAGAAAATTAAATAAAGTGAGCATTCATTGAACTCCCAAGAAACATAGAAGATAAAAACCCCAAATAAATGAAAAGTAAATTGCAAGGTGGTCAGAGGATATGCAAATAGTAGTAGGCACATTTAATGTCCATAATACGTGTAAGTAGCCCTAACCCCATCAAGTAAAAACCAGACATTGTCAGCACGAGATTTAAAAGCATCCTGTCCAGTTAGATGCTGTTTGTAAAATTTCACTTCCTTATGGCAGTATTGCTAAGACAAATGGAAAAGGACCATAAGAAAAGAGATCCACCATGTAAACAATCATATTCAACCTGGACAGGCCACACAAGGGTAAGCGCGGCGCAGTAAATTCTTCCAGTAAACAAAGCAGTACACAGTCATAAAAGGGTCAATTCCCAAAGAACAAAGCATGCCAAATGTGTGTGCAGCTAGCATCAGTGCTTTGAGAGCTTAAAGAAATCGGACTGCTGAGATGGTGCATTAGGTAAAAGATGCATGCCAGCAAGCCTGGCAATGTGAGGTCAGCACCTGGGCACCATGTGAGAAAGAGAAACTGCCCCCTGCAAGAAGACTTCTGACCTGCACATACACACACGTGTACACGTGCATACACACCAGCGTGTCTTCAAATGCTGTGATGAACACTATGCCCCAGAGCACATTCTATGGGCAGGGATTTCTCACATCTTATGGGTAATAGTCCATAACGGAAATCTGAGCAGAAACTTCAGCCAGGAGAAGGGCTGCCTACTGGCTTGTCCCTGGCTTCTGCTTACCTAACTTTCTTACTGAGCCCAGCAACACCTGTGTAGGTAGGAATGGCACCATTATCAGTAGGCTAGGCCCTCCTGTGTCATTTAGCAATCAAGAAAATCCTCCAAAAATATTCCCACAGTCCAGTTTGATTAAAGCAACCCCCTAATTGAGACTCCCTCAGGTAACTGTGGGCTATGTCAGGTTGAAGGCTGAAGCTAATTAGGACATAAACAAACACATAAAGTAAATAAATCAATATAAAAAATAAAATATAAGAAGCAAAAAACAAAACAAAACAAAACTGGAGAACCCAAAAGATAATTTGATTAAACCCCAACTGTAGTTGGGTACATTAACATTGCACTCTCAGTAATTGTTAGAACTGTTACTCTACTCAGAAAGTCAATAAAGATTTAGAAGATCTCAGTTATCTTATGAAGCAATACGATTTAGTTTATATTTACAGGACTTTCTATTCAGTACTAATAGAATACATGCACATGAAACATATGTTAGGATAAACCATATTGATAGTAAATAATCCTAATTAAAATAAACTTCAAAACTTTAAAAGAATTATGGGCTAGTGAGATGGCTCAGTGGGCAGGGGGACTTGCTGCTGAGCCTGATGGCCAGAATTCTGTCTCACAGCCTACATGGTAGAAGTGTAGATGAAAAGTTTCTGTTCAGCCTGGTCCCACTACCCTTCAGCCCCAAATAAACACACAGAGACTTATTAATTAATTGTAAACTGTTGGGCGATGGCTTAGGCTTCCTATTGGGTAGCTCTCTTAATTATTAACCAATAACTATTAATCTATGTATTTCTACATGGCTTTATCTTACCAGAGAACGCCTGGCATGTCCTATCTTCCTGGTCACTACATGGAGTCTCCTCTTGAGGCTTGTCTCTTGGTCCTCTTCCCAGAATTCTCCTCCTCTGGGTAGCCCCGTCTATACTTCCTGCCTGGCTACTGGCCAATCTGTTTTATTAATCAACCAATGAGAGAAACATATATACAGAAGAACATCCCCCATCATAGAAGGGGAGAGCCAACTCTTACACATTGTCCTCTGGCCTTCACACTTGTACTGTACCATGTGCACACACATGCACCCCCATACGCAAATCCATTTTAATTCTTTTCATTTGAAAGGGTTAAAACCATAGCAAGCACATACTCTGAACTCAGTGGAACCTACACAGAGGCTACTAATGACTGACAGTTGAAGGAGTCGGGAGAATTTCTCTAAATGAAAATCTTGCTCTTCCATCCATTATCCCAAAATATTATTGGCTTAGAACATGGGAAACAGATATATTTTATCTGACAATGACCAAATGGGTAATGAAACATGCTAGTTGGTGGCAACTAATGGTAAATTTTTTCTCCGTCCACTTTGTTTTACAGCCTCTCTGTTGAAAGGATTGAAGCATGCCAACATCGTGCTGCTTCATGATATCATCCACACCAAGGAAACACTGACGCTTGTCTTTGAATATGTGGTAAGTGAAATAAGAGTTCAGGCTGGCTAAATATGAATAAAATTCTTACAGGGATAGTAGTTGATTTTTTAAATTGCTGCACTGAAATGAGTTTTTTTTTTTTTCTGAGTATGTGTGACATCATTTTGCACCAAATAATGGCCCTGTGAGAGGTTTTTCAGTATGTCTCTTAGAACATCTAGAAAAATGTTAAGTTGCATTTGTTAGGTATATGGTTTATTTGTAGCCTGTTTGTTACTAGTGTGCTTATGTTGTGATTTTTAGGCATATCAAAAAGGTGATCACTATCAAAGGAATTCAGAGACAGCATCAAATATTTTCCTTGAGATTTGTAACTTGGTTTCACAAAAGCATCCTTAGGAAGATATTTGGGGGGGGCAGGGTAGGGGATTCCTGATACTTAAAATTTAGGTTTCGGAGTTTTCCTCTTCAGTTATTTCAGCTATTAACTAAAGCTTCCAATTGGTATAGCATAATGTAACAATCTTTTTGTGTTGAGGGTGTCACAGCATAGAAGACCTGAACTTCAACTAGTAATTAATCTTTCTTCATTTCCCTCACTAAAACATATGGTGTTTGTGTAGCACCGTCTCAGCATTTAACTGTGGAATCATGAAATGTAACCATGATAATTAGCATCCCAGTTTTCACAGATGGATCTGAGAACATGTAATTTATAAGATACAAATGACACCGGTGCTGACTTTTTATTGAGAAGAATAGCTACCAGGATTTTGACTGTATTAAAGTCTCATTTTTATAATTACCACACTAGTTTTTTTATTGAAATAATTTCCATTTTTTCTTAAAAGTATAAAAGAATGAATATTTGAAGCATTTTTATCTTCCTACTGTCTGCCTGTGACTGTTTATCATTTGAAAATTGTTGTCTCATGAAGAAGCCATTCATCTTGTCTATTTACATATAAATGATAGATACATTTGAATAATATGGTAATGTGGCTACAAGGACAGCTAGAGCTATCGAGTTGCATATATTACGTGTTACCAAGAATGGAAGCAGATTCCCACATCAATGCACATATAATTTCTTTTGTTTCCTCTGTGATTTGGAGTCAATAATGTATTGAGCTGACTTTAGTTTGGAACTTTCCATTCATGTTTTCTAGCATGTCTGATTAACATATTTCAATGAAATCTAGATTTTTCTATCTATATTCATCACCTTCCACAATGCTTTACAGAAAGAGTGTTTAAAGATGTATTTATTCCCTCCCTCAAATTGGACAATTAAACTAGAAGAAAAAAACAATGTTTTGGGACACCCAAATTCATATACCTCATGTTTATTTCCTGTATAGTCCACTGATGTGTAGTTAAACACACATGTGTATATGTTAATTAAATAAATGTATACATGCATGCATATATGCACACATAAACATATGGCTTTGTTTCTTAGTATGTTCTGAAATCAGTATCAGACATTGCAATCTAAAGTTTATGATATCAAACTTATTTTCTAAGCAGCATTAATTTTGTTGCTCCATGTTATTAGTAGTACTTCTCACTGTTCCTGGTGGCACATACCAGTATTCCCAACTTCTCAGGAGACTGAGGTAGGAGAGTCACAAATGCAAGGCCTGCCTGGGCTAGGGAGCAAATTGAAGGGCAGCCTGGTCAACTTAGCGATATCCTATGTCTAAAGGGAATGGTATGGGGAAACGGAGCTTTGGGCCAGAGGACTGCATTCATTACCTTCCTGTTGCTGAGACAGAGTGCCAAACAAAGCAATGTATGGAAAGGTTTATTTTGACTTATGATTCCAGAAGGGGTGAGTCCATCCTGGGGTGAAGCAAGACAGTTTGACAAATGTTTAGACACTAGTGTATCTCTGCTTTAATATTAGAATTCCATTCTCACTTGGGGTCCATAGCAGCAAGCAGCAAGCAGCAAGCAGCAAGCAGCAAGCAGCAAGCATAGAGTTAGGAGCAGGGAGCTCAGGGCTCATATCATGAACTGCAAGCATGAAGATGAAGGCAAATCAGAGTTGTAGTGAGACTGTGAACTCCCAAGGCTAGTCATCAGTGATGTAATCCTCCAGCCAGGCTGAAATCCTCCATAACCTTCCCAATCAGTGCCACCAGCTGGATTCCAAATGTTCAAATATGTGAGCTTATGGGGGGCATTTGTCATTCAAACAACCACAAGTCCATACCTAGTTTGTAAGAGACCTTGGAATCAATTTCCACTACCACCAAAACAAACAAACAAAAACCCAAAGAAAACAAGGACCTAAGTTATGCAATGTAGGAAAAATCAATATGCCACACTCTTAAAATCCTAGATTTAAAGGTAAAGCAAGACAGTTTGACAGTTTTTTGGAGACTGTTATTTCTTTGCTTTCATATTAGAATTCCATTTTCAGCGGGTTTCTGAGATACACCCGTGAGCCCCTCCATATAGTGTTATTTATGACAATGCCATCCAAATCATGCATCTCTACCCCTTTCTTTGACAGAGAACTCTAATCCTAGCTCTTTTATACTATTCCCACAAATGACATTTTAAGTTTCTGAAAGACTTCTGAGGGCCAGAATAATGAAATAAGTGATAAATGTTAGTGATATGGGAAAATACTCAAGAAAATGATTTAGGAGGTAATTAGCGATTCAGTGGATAATAGAATTTCGTTGATCCTCTCAAGTACCATGAAAAGTTTCTAAACCATTCTGAAACTGAGCTTCTCACCCACTTTCACAGTGTGCATATGTAATGATCTGGAAGCTTCAAAGCTAGGGCCTGTTGGCCATGGGCTCCCGAGGTGACTTATGTCTCAGTGGCAGGTCACATGGGCCTCTGAGAAGTGTGCTTCCAGAACTGCCTTAATCCAGTAGATGACAAATGCAAAGTGGCACCTTCAGTCCATGAGAGGATAAGCAGGCTTGGAAAGGAAGCTGCTCCTTAATGGTCTAAGATACTGGTGTAGCTCTCTATTTTTCATGCATGGCTTTAAACCTGAAAGAGAAATATGATAGCATTTAGAATCATTGACTCCAGAACACATTTAGCTGTGACAGTGCTAATGAAATTTTTCTTCTACTTTAACAGAAAGCTGAAGCAATTTACTTTTCTTTGCTCATTTGTTTTTGTCAAAGACAAATGAGTACCACATTGAGTTTAACAGTATGATGAAAAACGTTAAAACATATTCCATAAATGGAAATAAGAATATTAATAGTAAACATGATTATATAAATGCATGTTGCCATTAATTTCATAACTATTGTGTTTTGCTTTAAACTGCAAAAGAGTAAGCCATCTGGAGCATCATTTTTTATGGCATGTTTAATAATGATGTATAAAAAGAAGCAAAAGCCAGGTATGGTGGCACATCCCTTTAAATCCCAGCACTCAGAAAGCAGAGGCAGGCAGAGCTTTGTGTCAGTTCAAAGTCACCTGATCTACAGAGAGAATTCCAGAACAGTTAGGCCACACCCTGTCAAAAATAAAGAATTAAATTAAAAAATTAAATATTGTTATCAGACATAGACAAAGTTTTAATTTTATAAGACATATAGGTTATAGAGATTAGTGTACAACATGGTGCCTAAAATTATCCATATGATATTGTGCAACTGGAGTTTGGTAGGAGACCAGATGTTACCTAGACTGCTCTTGCCACCAAAACGTGAATTAACATAAGCAAAAGGACACAAGGATATAGGAGATGGCCATGTCTATTACCTTTGTTGCCTTGATTGTGGTGATGGTAACATGGGTATGTGTAGGTGTCCTGAGTCCTCAAAATGTATGTGTGTGTGTGTGTGTGTGTGTGTGTGTGTGTGTGTGTTATATGCAAATGTTAGTTTATAAGCTACTGCTCAAAATGCTGCCAATGAGAGGGGTTATGAAAAGATTCATAACTACAGTAGAAATAGATATGGTCATTTTATTTCTCCTATTATGTTGTAAACTATTGAAAAAGTGCAAATTGATATAGAACATATTTTATAACTTAAAAATGTAAGACTTTTCCTCATGAGAAAAAGACATTGTGACTGAAAATCATATAGGCTGATTAAAAGATCACCAAAGATATCAAAATGTGTTTTCATAGCTTTATTAATTTTATAAAACACTCCCATAAATGTTGTGCAGTTAAATTGTGAGGTTATGATGGTAGTTACTTTAATATCCTAAGTCTTCATTTAGTTTTTCATGTATTAGTACCTAACTAGGGCTCAGTCTTACATTAGTGTAGACTGCAGAATAGAGACCCATGAACTGAACACTGGGTCATGTGTCCCACTTCAGTGGTCACAGTGCTGAGGACACACCCTTGTAGGAAATTCATCTTGATTTTTAAATAAACCAAGTTTTATGATGGCACACCAGACTATCTGGCGTATCAGAAATCTTATTAAATATTTTTGTACACACACACACACACACACACACACACACACACACACACACACTCAGAGAGAGAGAGACACAGAGACAGAGAGACAGAGAGAAAGAGAAAGAGACTGAGACAGAGAGAGGATACAAAATTTTCATTACTTTGACTCATATTTAATTTTTATCACTTTAATTCATAAATCATCATTTAACTCGTAGTTCATTTTTCTACCTATTTGGTCTATATTCCAGCTGTATTTCCTACATTTAAACTGTTTTTCTATCAATGTTCTTTTAAGTAGAAAATCCAGAATGAATGTGACACTTCCGCCGTCAGAGCAGCTTCAGACAATGGCATGGCTACAGATCCATAGTTGTGTCTCAGGAATGAAAGATTATCTCTCTGTTCAAAATGAATGTGCCAATCAGAGTTCCCTATTGCAAAACAGAACTTCTCCTTGGCTGATTCAGACAGGAAAGTCTTGTAGGGGGTACTGTGGCTGGCAGCCCTGCTGATTGGACTGTAAAAGTAAGAAAGATCGGGTGATTCTGGCCAACCCAATCCAGAGCAAGAATTATGGCAGAGAAGTGTGCCCTGAGCACTGGCAGCCATCAGAAGTGTTAAAAAACAGGTT